GTTCCTCCCAAACTCCTCAACGGTTGTATTCGTGATCATCTTGTATTTAAATGGTGCCTCCTCTGATCTCTCTCACAAGTGAGAACTTTGTTCCATTAAATGTGTTTAATGTTGTTCTGCTCAACTAAATAGCACTGTCCAAAAAATCTAGTTGAATTGCAATAAGCAAATCCAGGAGAGTTATTCAAAAAAGCGATATTGGACTAAACTGCCAAAAACATTGCAGCATTTTACAGTTTCTATAGCATTACAGCAGGCCAGAACTCTTTTCAGGGAAAAAAAATCATTAATTATACTTGCAGAACTGTATATATTACAAAATCAACAATTAATGTTCATTGTATATTGACACAGCAGATACAGGGAGAATATTATCTCTTTTGGGAGAATCTAGAACTCGGGGGTTCCTATTTAACAATCCTGAGTTGTCCATTTGAAAAGAGATTAGGCACACTCTTTTCTCAGAAGGTCTTGAGACTATGGAGCTTTCTTTCTGAAAAGATTGTAGAAGCTGTTAACTTTGAATATTTTTAAGGCAGAGGTAGATATCGTCTGGTACAAGGGGATGAAAGGTTATCAGTTGGGAATGCAGATTTGTGACTCCAATCATTTCAGTCATGATCTTGCTGAATGGTGGAGCAGACCTGACGGGCTGAATGGCCTACGGTTCCTACTTTGTATGAACGTATGAAATTACATTTCAATATATGCTGGTGGTAGGGATTCAGTTGTGCCCTTATAAATAGTAACATAGTTTATCTGCAACTGTTGAATAAATAAACACTTACAAAAGTACATAAAGATTGGCTCCCATTCTATTCTCCAGTACCTACCTTTCTAGAATACAATAAATTTAATTCTAGAATTCCACATCATATTATACTCTGCATGAGCTTGCTCCCCCACTTCTTTCTCATTAACATATTCTGTTCCTTGCTCTCTCATGTATTTATTGAGGCTCCCCTATAGTATAGAAGTACAAATCACCTCAACTGTAGTGAGTTTGATACTTTAACCACTCTTTAAATTGGGTTGTGCGTGTTGAGGTTGGTTGGCTCGCTGAGCTGGTTTGTTTCGCAGACAACAAACTGCCAAGCAGACACCTTACAATCTAAAGCACCAAATGTTATTGAAAGTACATTGAAGATGAAAGACTTACTCCTTCCTAAACTAATTTACTTTGTTCTCAGTTACCTGCACTGTCCGAAGCTGGATGGAGGGATGCTCTTCGGTGCTAATGGGCCAACCTCACAATTACGATGCAGCCCCCAAAAAGTTCCTGACTACCAAGCAGGATATGATCGTAAAACATATTTGTGTGAGGACAAATGAATGATTATCCACAAACAAAACTTTATTATGAAGCTGTTGGTTGAATTGAAATAAAGCATTTTCTCTTCCCAGTTTGTGTCAGTTTTTCTTTCAGACCCTGAACAAATGTTTGCCTTCTGCATTGTTCCTATTGCACAAAAATATATATCAACATATCTCAGCTGAATTTCTGGCACAGCAGAAACACACTCTCTCCGGTTTTTCTCAGATTAGGTTTGTGAAGCTGGAAAATACCCTGTCTCTGGGATCCTAACCCAGGAGCTGACATCGGGTCTTTTGAGTGTGACATAGTGGATTGGTCCAAATTTCTGTCAGTCTCCACCCATGTCACAGAATTGTACTGGGCACCATTAGGGACATTTCCTAGATCTTCCTTTATCAAAGATCGCCTGAATCCACTTTCAAATCATCACTTGCGATCATCATTACCTGAGATGATTTGCTTTTGAAACTTTGAAACTGTCCTTCATGCCCTTATCATATACGGACTGGATCATTCCAATGTTCTCCTGACAACTTCACATGCAATACTCTCCATGAACTTTATCTTCTCCCTAATCATGTTCCCCTGTCTGCCCCAGAGCTCTCATGATTTCGTGAACTTTTATCAAATCTCCCCTTATTTTTTCCCTCGCCAAGGCAATCAGTCCCAAGTCCCCCAACCTAGCATTGTAACTGACGTTTCTGATGGCTGGAACCATTGTCATACATCTCTTCTTTGATTTGATTTATTATTGTCGCATTTGCCTAAGTAAATTTTATTTTGTGTGCTGTACAGGCAGATCATAACATACAAAGATCACAGGATGATTGAACAGAGTGAGGAATACGAAGTTATGGGTACAGAGAAAGTGCACAAAAAACAAGATCAACATTAGATTTGGAATTTGAGAGGTCCATTCAGAAATCTGATAACAGCGGGGAAGAAGCTGTTCTTGAACCTGTTGGTTTGTGTGTTTAAGCTTTTGTACTTTCTGCCTGATGGAAGAGGTCAGAAGAGATTATAACTGGAGTGGGACAGGTCTTTGAGGATGTTGGCTGCCTTTCCACAGCAATGAGAAGTGTGGATGGAGTCAATGGATGGAAGGTTGGCTTGTGTGATGATCCACATTCTCCCCAAAGTGTTCCACACACAATACTCTATAGGTGAGGTCTAACTAGTGTTTTATACAAGTTCAGCATAACCTCCTTGTTTTTGTACTTGATGCCCCTTTTTAATAAAGCTGAATGGTAGATGGTGGTCTGGAGACTGCACCAAGCGATGTAATGATATCCTTCTCGTTCCTTAGCTTTGGCCAAATTCATTCCGTTCTTGAATCTTTGAGGCGTCTGATTTTTTTCAGTCCTGTGGTTCTCTCCTTCATCAAAACAGCCACCCCTCCACCTTTTCATCTTTTCTTATCATTCCCAAGCACCCTGTAACCAAAGTTTTATAACAGCCAGTCACACCCTCCTTTCAGCCTGGTCTATGTTATTGCCACAATATCATAATTCAACATGGCAATCTGCACCTGCCACTTGTCAACATTATTCAGTACACTCCCTACATCCTCATGCTCTAATCCCATCCACCTGTTGCAAGTTTATGTTGTCTTGCACTGGCCCTCAGTCTTCTTAAAGCCTCTACATTGAAACTTTCCTCCTGTTTAAAGTCCTCCTTGGATATGCCCATTCATGCAAGTTCCTGCAGCTGGTAATACCCAAACTTGCTGTTCCTCTGATACCAGCTCCATTCTATTCACCCTCATTCTCTGTTTTTCTGTCACGTCCTTTCGTCAAAACCCACCTCACTTCTACATTTATGATATGCATCAAGATATTTTTGACAACTAGTTAAAATGTACAGCACAATGCTGAATCATTTATGAAATTACAATCACTGTGCTTATCTGAAGGATGTATTTTATGTTCCTGACACTCACAACACCAGAATCTTCCATCAGTCTTCTATTTCCTGCCTACAACTTTTAATTCACTCGTTACATTTTCCTGTGAAATGTCATCATTATAAATTCCTCTGACAACAGTGATAATAGAAACTGCCTCATGAACATATAAAGATATAATTGCACCCTGTCAACAGGGCTGACGATGTGAATATTACTTCCCACCGCTCCTCAGTCAATGTAGTAGAACCCTGATGCTCCAAAATTCTATACTTTTCTACTTACCAAATTGCTTAATCTGTTATTTAATTAAGAACAAAGAAAGTTTACATCAAAGTTTAAATGGAATCTGAATTATCTCCAATCTTTTAACCTTAATTTAGTTTAAGTAAGAAAGGTGATCCTGAATTTTGACATACAATGCTATAGAATGTTAATTAACATTAAAATTGTTCCAACTGAGCTGATCACTGTATTGATTAGGAGTTGGTTTTCCTCCAGTGGCTGGTTTGTTATGCAGAGTGACACCAGGAGTTAAATTCCTGAACTGGCTATGATTACCATAAAGGATTCTCCTTCTCAACCTCCCCTAAGGTCTGGTACCCTCAGGTTAAACCACCACCACCAGGTCATCTCTCTCTAATGAAAGAGCAGCTCATGGTCTGGTAAGACTATGGCCCTATCTTTATTTTTCCCCTTTTAAATCAACTTGCTCATAAATGTTATAACACACTCTAGAACAGACAGAACTTGAACTGAGTCCTCTTAGCTCCAAGTCAGGGACCCCACCACTATGCCAAAGGAGCTCTGGCCCTACCTTTGTTGCTGTAACATGCTTCTGAATTAAACCAGCGCAACATTTTTCATACCTACCATAGGCGGCACTGTTGAACTTCAAATGTCCATCTGTCTCTTGGTAACACAACAAAGCACAAGGCATTTCATCATTTAACTGGCCTTGATAATTAATGGCCTGGTTTTTACACAAGTAATGACTTAATGACTGCAGAGTTCACTGTCATTTTGCCTCTGAAGCTGACAGCAACTTTGAGTCTGCACATGCTGTGGACATGTCTGTCAGAGATTGCTTGCTTCTCCAAAGACAGCAGTGTTCAGGTGCCCCCAGAATATAATCAAGTAGAAGTGATTTGAGCTGTCAGGAACTTCCATTCCTGGGGCCGGATTTTCACTACCAAGGTATGGAGCTCTGACTCATTGGACATGCCTCGGTAGAAAGGTGTAGAATCTCATCATCTATGGAGGCTTGGGGGCGGAGAAAGGCAAGGATAGAGTCAAGGAGACAACAAGGTGCAGAGCTGGATGAACACAGCAGGCTAAACAGCATCATAGGAGCAGAAAGGCTGACGTTTCGGGCCTAGACCCTTCATCAGAAATGGGGGAAGGGAAGGGGGTTCTGAAATAAATAGGGAGAGAGTGGGAGGTGGATAGAAGATGGATAGAGGAGAGGATAGGTGGAGAGGAAACAAACAGGTTGAAGAGGTGGGGATGGAGCCAGTAAAGGTGAGTGTAGGTGGGGATTTAGGGAGGGGATAGGTCAGTCCAGGGAGGACGGACAGGTCAAGGAGGCAGGATGAGGTTCGTCGGTAGGAGATGGGGGTACGGCTTGAGGTGGGAGGAGGGGATAGGTGGGAGGAAGGACAGGTTAGGGAGGCGGGGACAAGCTGGACTGGTTTTGGGATGCGGTGGGGGGAGGGAGATTTTGAAGCTTGTGAAATCCAAATTAATACCATTGGGCTGCAAGGTTCCCAAGCGGAATATGAGTTGCTGTTCCTGCAACCTTCGTGTGGCATCGTTATGGCACTGCAGGAGGCCCAGGAAGGACATGTCGTCTGAGGAATGGGAGGGGGAGTTGAAATGGTTCGCGACTGGGAGGTGCAGTTGTTTATTGCGAACCGAGTGTAGGTGTTCTGCAAAGCGGTCCCCAAGCCTCCGCTTGGTTTCCCTGATGTAGAGGAGGCCACAACGGGAACAGCGGATGCAGTATACCACATAAGCAGATGTGCAGGTGAACATCTGCTTGATGTGGAAAATCTTCTTGGGGCCTGGGATGGGGGTGAGGGAGGAGGTATGGGGGCAGGTGTAGCACTTCCTGCGGTTGCAGGGAAAAGTGCCGGGTGTGGCGGGGCTGGAGGGGAGTGCGGAACGGACAAGGGAGCCACTTAGCCAGTGTAGAGGAGGGTAGTGATAGCTGTGGTGGATATGGAGAAGGTGTCCTCAGTTCTCAGGGACGTATGAAAGAATGATCAGCCCTTCTCACTTCTCCATTTGCCCATCGACCTGCCTGTCGTTCTGCATTCCTTCCATTTATTGCTCTTTATTGACCTGATGCCAATGTCGAGGTTGGGGGTAGTGGTAGGAGGAAATTTCACAGTGAGGGAGGAGCAATGCCAGAGAGGGATCTAGGGACAAGAATGAGAATGCTTATATCAAACATTGCTTGACTGGTAGCGAATATTGATCAGCAGGCACAGAGGGTGATAGGGAGACGGGAGCTGTTGTGAGTTAAGACACACGCAGCAGAGGATTGGATGACCTCAATTTACAGAGGTTAAATATGGGAGAGGAATGCTGGCAATCAGAAACACAAATGAAAATTGTTGGAGAAACTCAACAGGTCTAGCAATATCTGCAGAGAGAAGTCAGAGTTAACATTTCTAGTCCAGTGACCAGGTACTGTTTCGGGTCTGTTCTGAAGAAGGGTCACTGGACCCGCAGTGTCAACTCTGCTTTCTCTCCACAGATGCTGCCAGCCCTGCTGAGTTTCTCTGGCAATTTCTGCTTGTGTGAAATATGGGAGTGCAGCCTGGAATGCTTTGACAGGCTCCGTTAGTTTGAGTAAGGTTTTCGTCAGTGGAAGAATTTAGACAGCGTAGACTGAGCTAGATTACTGACTTTGTGATGGTACAGATTGTAGAGCAATGTAGATAACACTGCTGCACTCAAGTTGTGTTGCTTAATACAGTATTACCACTTGCTTGCTGGGATGGTAACTAGTAGAAGTTCAACTTACTTGAAAATCTCCAACAGGTTTATTTAAGAGACAACGTGGTAACTTGCATTTCCACAGAGAAACTTACTTTTTCATAGAATCCCTACAGTGTGGAAACAGGCCCTTCGGCCCAACAAGTCCACACCGAACCTCAGAGCATCCCACCCAGACCCAT